TCAGGGCCATCCTGCGTGACGGAACGCTCTGGAGAGCCACCAGCATGGGGCAACCAAGGGGCATGGGGACCTCCCAAAGTCTCATAAAAAGCATGCATGGTGGCCTTACTGAAAACAAGAATGTTATTACGTTAACTTACCCACTGAAACTTCCTGTTAGCCATCTGGCCACACACTATCTCCTAAATAACCCGTGCTTTCCCTGGTGACTTAACTGTACCCCACCGTGAATCTGCTCCGTATTTCAGTCTGTCTGTCTGCCTGTCTGACTGCCCCTGGCCAACAGCCTTCGCTCCCTTGCCTTTCCTGCCATTGCCCTCTCCTGATTCCCACGCCTGATGTTCTGCAGCCTCCCTGCCCTCCCTTGCAGTCTGCCCTGCAGGGCTCTCTCCTGGGGCCGCCCTGGGTGACCTGCGATCCCATGACGCCACTTCTCAGATGCTGAAATGCGAACTCCGGGTGACCACCTGCAGTCCTGCAGCTTGGTCAGGGTATCGCAGTGTCAGGCCAAATGGGCATGTCGGGTGAAGTCCATTCTGCTCTCTGCCTGCCCAAAGGTGCACCCAGAGTCCCCAGATCCCACCTCTAGCCCAGATGTCCCCTGAGCCACAGACCCATCCATCCAAACATGTGCTCGCCATCTCTCCCAGAATGCCCCCCAAGGAGCACGCTCTACATGGATTCACCTTCTTTCTCCTAAACCCGCTCCCCTCGGCGCCCCTCCCCCGTCCCCCCCCCCCCCCCCCCCCCGTCCTCACTGCATGGCTGTGGCACACGGGGCAGAAGACTCCGAGGTGTCCGAGTGCTCTTTATGCCCTCTCGTGGAGCACCTTATCTGACAGATTCTCCCCCCTCCTCTCTGGCCAGCGGTGCACATGGAGTTGACCTCATTACTTCTCTTCTCATTTAGTCTGCCAGGCTCTGTGCTTGCGGTCTTAAACCCTTCACTCTGCGGCACAAGCCATCTTGCCACAATGGCCTGATCAAGTCACACATGGCTCTGGATCCTACCACAGTCCCCACTGCCCACAGGGCCAAGTCCCAAGGCCTCCAAGTGCCTCAGGGGTCTTTCATGGCTCAGACCCCTAAGCCCCCCCCTCACTTCTATGTTCCTTACCAAATGCATCAGCCTCTCCTTGTGGCAGAGACCTCAGCATGGATTCCTGAGTCCAGTGCCCCCTGCTGGAAGGCTGGTTGGATACCCAGAGGAAGTTAAAGACACCCTTCCTTGGGCCCCAGATTCCCCTGGGGACACCCACAGCGCCTGCTGGTGTCTGTGTGTCTGACGCCTTTAGAACTGCGACCTGTGAAGGCGGAGAGGGCCTCTCTTTGGATCTTGTATCCCCACAGCCCAGGCAAGCGCCCTGACAATCCCTGTCCATAAAATCCAGCGTGAGTTGGAAAAAAGCAGGTTAGCCAGAGCCAGGCAATACTAAGGTAAATGGGGCTTTAAACTGTCTGCATGTGGTACAAAAACGGGGACAGATGCCTACTGTGCGCAAGCAGCCTCTGAGAAGGAACTGGTTAGGGAGTGAGGAAGACAGAGTATTTGGGAAAAACGGGAAGAGAGGAATGGCTGGGCGGCTTAGAGTGGGGTTGTAGTGGCATCTGCCTCCTGGGCAGTGGTGCATGCCTCCAGCCTGACCCACAGGTGGGACAGGCCCACCATCAGGGCAGAAAGCTGGATACAGCCGGCCCAGCTGCGAAGGGACAAGCTCCAATGTCAGGAGGTCAGATCCTGCAGGTGTGAGAAGAGCAAACAGCTATTCTCAGAGGTCCTTTTCTGCAGAAAGGCGGTCAGATCCAACAATGGTGACAGCAGCCCCGCAGCCACACAAAGCCGCCTGAGAAAGGTTCCAGAGGACCAGAGAGGCAGGCCGGCCCCCCAGCCCCTTAGACCAGAGGTTCTCAGCCTTCCTAATGCCACGACCCTTTAATACGGTTTGTCATGTTGTGGTGACCCCCAACCATAACATTGTTTTCGTTGCTACTTCATAACTGTACCTTTGCTACTGTTATGAATTATAATGCAAATATTGTGACCCACAGGTTGAGAACTGCTGCTGTAGAGCCTAAGACCATTGGAAAGCATTACGATTCATTAACAGTAGCAAATTACAGTTATGAAGTAGCAACGAAAATAATGTTATGGTTGGGGGTCACCACAACATGACGAAGGGTCGTGGCATTAGAAAGGTTGAGACCCACTGCCTTAGACTAAGGAGGAGAATCTTTCACATGATGCTCACAGTCTATATACAGTCCCTCCAAACATGACTACCTCTTTGCCATCTAGAGGGCATTTCCATTGGCAGCCCTTTCCTCATCCTCCTCGTCTGAGCTGAAGGGTGCCTCCTCTTCCAGGAAGCCTCCCCTGACCTCCAGCGTCTCATATGAATTTGCTCTCACAACACCCTGGGCTTCCCCTTCACGGTCCTGCTCAGCATTGTTATCAAATACATATTCATTTATTCATTGTTATCAAATACGTATTCATTTAAATTCTGTGGCCACATAGAGGGCAGGGACTGATTCTGTCAGATCCCCAGCATTCAACACTCTGCCTGGAACAGATCTGAGGCCCACTAAGCAAGCGTCTGCTGAGGGAACAATTTGATCAATCAAGCAGCTGAAGAATGAATTAAACAATGAATGGATAAAACTGGCCCATGACTAGAATGCAAGACCAAGGAGCCAGGATTCCCCTGAGCACGTGAGAGAAGGAAGGGAAGGGGAAGCTGGGCTACTCCTACTGCAGGGGACAGAGACCACAGTGGGGTCGGCGGCCAACCCCAGCCCACCCTGCCGTCAGACAGCCTGGACTCCCAAATGAACCCCACCTTTTACATTTTGAAATGGTTAAAAAGAAGACTATTTCCGTTTTTGAAATTCACATACCAGTGTCCACAAATAAGGCTTTATTGGAACACAGCCACAACCATTGGTTTCTGTACTGTCTATGGCTGCTTTTGCATGGCAGTGGCAGAGCTGAGGGGCTGTGAGAGAGAATATATGAGCCCCAAGGCCTAAAAGATATACTACCTTTACAGAAAAAGTTTTCTGAACCTTGGCCTATAGTGTCTTGCCATCACTATATCCCAGAACTCACCGAAGTAGCTGACCGGGTGGCATAAGATGAAATCTGGGCCTCAGAAAAAAGCTGCCAGACACTGTTTGTTAATGTAAAAATGGGACCTAAATATCCCCTTTATAAAGAAGGGCTAGTTAAACTAATATCCTACGCTGGCGACTGCACTGCTATCTTTAAAAATGGGTTAGGCTAAAATGTGCAAGTAGAGAAAGATGTTCATGGTACACTGTCAAAGAAATTTATAAAACATGGACAGTTTTTCAATCTGTTAGAAAGAATAGCCATATATGTTTAGAAGGTGAGAAAATATGAATATGTGATAAATAGGGAAGTAGACCAGGGATTTAAGTTTTTTATTTTAAATACTTTTGCACTCACTGGAGTTTTTACTGAGAATATATTTTTCTCTAATTTTATTGAGTTCAGAGAGGAAGGAAGAGGAAGAGAGAGATAGAAACACCAATAATGAGAAAGAATCATTGATTGGCTGCCTCCTGCATGCTCACTACTGGGGATCGAGCCCACAATCCGGGCACGTGCCCTTGACTGGAATTGAACATGGGACCCTTCAGTCTGCAGGCCAACCCTCTACCCACTGAGCAAAACCAGCTCGGGCTACTATTCTCTAATTCAACACACACACACACACACACACACACACACACACACACACACACATACAGGGGCTGATTTTAGAAAGTCCCTTACTCTTCCTCTTCCCCCCAGCATGGATCCCGATGCTTGATGACCTCAAGGTCATATGGCCAGTTTCTGCATTCTGGGGAGCTGCCCAAAACACACTTTCCTCTAAACTTAAAAGTCTGATAACTGCTCCGGTTTGTTTTGAGGAAGCTTAAAATTAGAATGAAATAGTCCCACTTCCCTTTTCCTAGAAACTCTGGTTACTTATTCAACGAGAACACCCCTCCCGGGCCCGGGGAAGGCCCGGTTGCCAGGGGATGTGAACACAGTGGCTTCTCTGCTGCTCCCTCCAACCACAGCTGGCTCTCCTGCACCAGGACCCTGAGTGGAGCTCAGTCAGCAGCCCTATGCGTGGTCCTGGGGGTGGGATGAGTTGAGGCGGCCATCAGCGGAGGGAAGAGAGAAGCCAAGACTGCGTCACCAATAGGTGTTAGGTTCTGCCTTTCCCACCAAACCTGACTCCGTTTCTCACCTTTGCTCCCCCGTAGCAGTTCCCTGGGGAGTCATGCCATGGGCAAAGCTGATAGCTGGTTTTGCTCTGCCATGCCCAGGCCCCCAAGCCTGTACCACTACTCTGCTCAGCTGGCTGTAGTAAACTGCCCTCCTCCCTCGCCCTGCAGGCAGCATCCGGGATCCTGGAGTCACTGTGAAGGCCCGGAAGTCTCTAAGAGCTGGGAGCACCGAGGTCAGTCCTACCTCAACTTGGAGATCAGAACCTGCTACCTGCTGGAATAAATCATCCCTAAGCAGCCCCAGCACGTCCCAAAGAACAGGCCAACACCCAGGCAGTGCCATAATCCTGGTGAGATCAGGCGACGCTGTGGGGAAGTCAGGGAGATGCCAATTCTGCGATGTCTGTATGGGAACTCCTGCATCCTTTAGTACATCTGGATCCTAAGACAGCATGCACTGCTCTGCGCTCAGCCTGATTCTAACCACCTGCTGACCACAACCTTTCTCCATCCCAATTGGAGGTTTGGTTCAGCAAACACTCCCAAGTGGCTGTAGGGATCCGAGGAGGACCCCAGCCTTGAAGGACCCCATCCAGGCTCAGATCCCCGCCCCCCAGCACTGTGGGGAGAGCTGCCTCCGAGGCCAGCTTGTGAAGAAAATAAAAGCCAGGAGGTGGCGGAAGGAGGAGAAGGCCTGGCCCTTGGAGAGATAGAAGCCGGGGGCTGGCGCAGGCCACCTGAGGAGCGGGACTCACCATTGGTGGTCGTGTTGACATAGTAGCGCCGGCCCTGGGGGGACAGGTAGCTCTGCCAGCCGGGAGGCAGCACGACGCTCTGGCTCTCCTCTCCCGGCGGCGGGGGGACCATCCCAGGCTTCTGTGGAGGAAAAAAGGAAAGGTCACACATGTCTGGCATTTTTGCAGCCGTCTTTCAAGCAGGAAGTCAGGGCAGATGAAGTCACCTTGGGACAGCTCGACGTGGAGGGCGAGTGGCCCACAGGCCCCTCAGGGAGGTTGCAGGCCCCTAAGGGAGATCACAGGCCACGCCTGTGTGCTTTGGGCGGTTGTCTGAGTGTGAGATGTGGGGAGCGCCTGCTGTCTCAGAGCCCCTGCAGAAGGGACGGGTTCCCCCTGAGGACAGAGGGACGTGCCTCTCAGTTGACAGCTGGGCTTTCTACTCCATTAGCCCCAAAAAAGCCACGCTCAGGGGTGAGGCACCTTCAAGGGGAGGGAGGTGCCGCTCTCCGCACTCCCATGTGGACCCTGCAGCCTGACAGCCCAGGGAGCACGGAGCACAGTGGAGGGAGCACACCGCAGAGGAGGCCTGGGCCTGCTGGGGATGCTGCCAGAAGCCACTAATGCCTGCCTGGGCAGAGGGAGCTGGGAAACCTCGGACAATAATGGCATGAATCAAAGGGTGAGGTGGGTTTTCGCCAAGTGCCCTCCGCACCCCCCTGTGTGGAGAACTTGGAGCCTGAGACAACCCTGGTGCCCTTTCACCACACGCACCTATCTGAAACCACGCACACGGAGCTTTTCCTAAAAGGATCAGAGGGAAGCAGAGAGAACAGAGACACTAGTAGAGACACAGGTGCTAAAGCAGGCGCGTCCCGGTGGAATTATGAGCAGTTTGTCTCCTCTTCTTTTTACTTAACTTTTCCATCTAGATTTTCTTCAATAAACGCAAAAATAAAAGTTATTAGCTCCAGCCAGTGGCACTCAATGGTTAGAGCGTCAGCCCAGGCACCACAGTGTCACAGGTTCAATTCTTGGTCAAGGGCACATACATGAGTTGCAAGGGCACGTGTGGGAGGCAACCAGTCTCTCTCACATCGACGTACCTCTCTCTCTCTTCCTCTCCTTCTCCCTCCCTCCCTTCCACTCTCTCTGAAAAGCAATGGAGCAAATATCCTCAGGTGAATAAATAAATGGAAGTTGTTAAAGAACATTTACACACACAAAAAAGGGCCCAAATTAGCTCACATCATCTCTGTGCCTTGCGGAGAAATAAATGGATAAATACAGTATTCTAGCCACAGCAGGACAGGAGCCATGATTTTCTCAGCGAAGCTGGACCCTGTTCAGAAACATTAAAGCTCACCGGCTCCTAAATGTCACCGGCATCCACCCCCCGCTGCCCCCGCCATGCCTACGAGGCAGTTTTGGGTCACTGATGACCACGGCTTCATAGCTGGCAAGTGAGCGATACAGACACGGCTCCCAAACTGCGGAGCTCTCTGCAGACTGCAGTGCCCGCACTCCCATTTCCTGGGGAGCCCTGCCGGGTCCTCAGTGGGGATCAGGGATCCGATCAGTCCAGCTGCTCCAGGGACTGTGCGTGAGCACGGCTCTCGTGGCCTCCCTGTATGTCTCATTATTTTTAATTTTCACAATTTAATTAAAAGCCTTCCCTGTGCCCCGAACGCTTGTCTCCCACACAGGTTGACCCACAGCACCTCTGCGATTCCGTAGGGAAGACGGGCTTCCAGACCGCCCCATGCCAGCCCAGCACACACCTGGGCACGCTTACCTGGGCCTCCAGACACTGCTCTGGCCTCTCCAGGTTGGAAGATGGTCAAAATATATGCAAGATAAATAGCCTGAGGATGAGTACAGCGTGAGTGTGAGTGTGAGCATGTGTGTGTGTGTGAGCGTGTGTGTGTGTGTGTGGATGAGAGAGAGAGAATGAAATACCCACATCACAGGAGACACACATGTTGGCTCCGTAGGGCTGGGAGTAAACAGGAACAGGGAGGTCAGGGGGCTTGCCTTTTGAAAGAAATGGTCTAGAATAGGTTGCTTCTGCCTGAGGCACAGCCTCTAAGGGAAGACCGGACGGGGGCTGGTCGGGTGACCTGGGAGGAAGTGGGAAATTGTGAAAGAGTATTAAGCAAGGGCAGAGACTGACAGGGGCAGGACGAGGCTGCAGGGGAGAGAGGGACCCAGCAGCGGAGTGAGCTCGCCCTCCAGCCTGGGGCTCAGTGGGACATAGCCACTGAGTAGCCCGGGACCCAGGGACAAACACAACGGTCGCCCTTCTTCAGTGTCTGTGAGAGGAGGATGACGTTAGCCCAGCTGTGGGACACCGGCAGTAAGAAACTCCGTGCCTGGGAAAGCGCCTGTCACCAGGAATACTCAGGAAATGGGGATCTCCGGGGGATGGGGGGCTGACTGGATGCGAGTGAGAACTCTGCCTCCTGCCGCATGAAGTTCGCCCACCCTCACCATCACTGCGTCGAACATGCCACCAGCAGCAGTCACTAGTTCCAGCTTTCTGTTTCCAAGACGACCGCTTAACACAGGCCGCTGGGGAGGCCTCCACGCAAAGGCGCTGCTGCTGAGTGGGGGGAGGGGGGGCGGGCAGTGAGGAGGACTCTCCTCAGCTGGGCTGCTGGAGTGAGTGGACTGAGCCTTTGGGCCTGTGGTCATCCTGTGAACCGTCCCTAGCCCAAATCCAAAGAGCATGTGCTTTCTCTTATTTATATAAATAAGTCTGGGGGATCAGAAGCTCAGGTTGACAGTTGAGGACACTGATGGCGGGGGGGTGGGGGGGGGTGGTGCCAGACTGCCCTGAGGTCTCCCCACCTGGGAAATGTGGGACCCACACCACCTTGTACACTATGGAAAGGGCCTGCCAAGGAGGCACCCCAAAACTGAGCCAGGAGGGGCCAGGGGTGCTGAATGGGGGGAGGAGGGCACCCGGGCCAATTTCCCAATTTGGCCAACGTGGGAAAGGTGGTCTCCACATCCCCCTGCGGAACGGCCACGGGTCCCCGCTCTGCCTGCGGCTGACAGTGCTCTGCCTCCACCCCCAGGCCGCCAGCCCCGGCCTGCCCCTCTCCCAGAGGAAGTCATCCTGGTGGCTGGACTGCAACAGCCAGGAGCCCACAGAGGTGGAGACCATGGCACACACCTAGAAGTGAAGCAGTGCCCGGACACCTGTGCACCCTGTTCTACGTTATCCCCAGTACCCAAGGGGCGGGAACACGGCAAGTGGCCGCTGACCGATGAACGGGTAAATGCAGTGCGATGATGTAGCCGTACAGACAACAGCAGCACTCAGCCGCTAAGAGGAACACAGTACTGAATGCACGCTGCAGGGGACAAGCCGTGGAATCACGCGTGGGAAAGAAGCTAGACACAGAAGGCCACTTTCTGGAATGATTCATTCACACCAAACATCCAGAACAGGAGAGGGAGAGAGAGAGAGAGAGATAGAAGCATCAATAGCCTGCCTCCTACATGCCCTCTACTGGGGACCGAGCCCACAACCCAGGCTCCACCAGGAATCCAACTGGCGACCTCTTGGTGCCTGGGTGGAGGCCAACCAACTGAGCCACACCGGCTGGGCCAGACGTTTCTTGAGCCCATAGACGAAGGCAGGTCAGGGTGGCCAGGGGCTGCAGGGGGACGGGGACAGGGCCTCCCCTTTCATTTGATGGAAGCGTTGTGGAACTCGATGGTGGCAGTGGTTGCACAAAACGGTGACTGTGCTAAACGTCACTGGTGATGCCGTTCACGTGAGGTGTATTTCACAATGAAAACGATTTTAGAACGAGGAAGACGAGGCTGGCGTCGGCCTCCCCATCTGCAGGCTCTCGTTTAAGAGGCCAAACCCCCAGCTTTCCCTCCCGCCTCGTGGCGGGGGAGGCGAGGGCTCCTGGGAGCGCTGCCCCAGAGCCACTGGGAGGATAGAGCGGAGCGCCTACCCGATAATTAAGGTCTCTGCCAAACAGAGTCTTCCAATTAGTTTCCTTCCAAGTTAAATCCTTCCCTTCCCTTCCTTAGTCCTCTGGCTTCTCCTCTTCCATGCTGTCAGCTCTTTCCCATGGGAACAGGCACAGAGAGCAGGGGCAGCGCGGGTCCTACCCACAAGGAGCAGGGACAGAGGGAGTGGAGTGGGCAGAGAGGAGGACTCTGAGACCGATTCCCAGGGCAACTCTGTGGGAGTCAGAAATGCCGCCTCTTCCCCTGATGGGCCGTCCCTGGCTGCAAAGCTGGGTCTCAGCCTCCCTATGCCCCTCCCCTGGGTCCCCATGTTCAGTGAACAGCCTGCCCAGCCACATATGGAAACCCATCCTCTGAAAATCTGGACTAAACAGGATCTTCTGCCCCCAAAACGGATGCAGGTGTACACACACACACACACACACACACACCCTATTTTATTGGGAGGTTTCGAGGCCACTTCAGAACCCTAGTCTAATAAGTACTCAAGAAATGTCTGGCCTGGCAGGTGTGGCTCAGTTGGTTGGCCTCACCACAGGCACCAAGAGATTGCCGGTTTGGTTCCTGGTCAAGCCTGGGTTGTGAGCTCGATCCCCAGTAGAGGGCATGTAGGAGACAGGCTATTGATTTTTCTATCTCTCTCTCCCTCTCTCTTTCTCTCTCTCTAAAATCAATAAAAACAGCCGAGACCGGCTTGGCTCAATAGATAGAGCGTTGGCTTGGGGACTGAAGGGTCCCAGGTTCGATTCCGGTCAAGGGCATGTACCTTGGTTGCGGGCACATCCCCAGTAGGGGATGTGCAAGAGGCAGCTGGTCGATGACTCTCTCTCATCGACGTTTCTAGCTCTCTATCTCTCTCCCTTCCTCTCTGTACAAAATCAATAAAATATATTTTAAAAAAATAAAATCAATAAAAACACACACACACACACACATATATATACACACACACATATTGTATATATCACCACCAGCAATACTTTTAATATATATTGTATATATTAAAGAAAGGCCTGCATTCAGACCCCATTTCTGCTATTGGTAATGGCTTTGATCACTTGCCACATGTGTCTAAGTGTGCTAAGGTAGCTCTAATCTATATATATAAAAGCCTAAGCCACCATTAGGACCAAATGACCTGAATGACTA